GAGAGAGAGACAAATTTTTGAGTTCAAAATTTTCTAACCTTAATACAAGAGAGAGGGGGTCCCTAAATATAGAAAACATGAAATTTCCTCAAGGAGATCCAGCCCTACACGTGGGTGAAGATGTATGTATCTGTGCAAACAGCTGGCATAAAATATCTGCAAAACACACTAATGGCCGGCCGATCATCAGTGGTGGCCGGCCGGCCATCATTGGTGGCTGGCAAGCCACATCAGTGGCCGACAGCCCAAAAGTGATGGCCAACAACCTCTAGGGATGGCCGGTAGGCCACCAGAGGTTGCAGGCTGGAAAGACCAAGGCATGGTCCAAAAATAAGGTAAAAGGGATACAGGGTTTGAAAGACTCAAAGTTGTGGCATTCCACTGAGGACTTCGAGCACTTGGCGAGCAAACAAAGTCATCATCAGGTGTGCATGCAAGGACATCCAAGTCGTAAGGGTCGTCAAAAATGGGGTGTCTATAGATTTGTACACATTAGTACTAAGGGCGGAATTACCAGAAGGAAAAAACACAAATAATACATATCCTAAAGGTTCGGGTGTTGATATTAACTTGGAAGCAAAGTTTGGTGCAACAAAAAAATGAGTGGAACCAGAGTCAAAGAGAACATGAGCTAAATGGCCACAGATAGAAAGTGTACCTGACACAACATTCTCGGTAATTTCTGGGTTTCCAGATACTAAAGCAAAAGTCTTTCCTTGGCATTTTTGGTCCTTCCTCACTCCTCCAGGTACCGAGGGTTTTTTGACTAGTTCAGAGGGGCCAGCTGTAGGATTGGCAAACTTTGGACAATCTCTCAGCAAGTGGCCAACTTGACTGCATCTAAAGCATGCTCCCAAGTCTCGCTGGCATCGTCCCTAATGAGCCCTTCCACAAGTAGGACAATTAGGACTAGTGCTACCTCTGGGGTTAGTAGGACCTTGATTTCTTGAATTGGTTGAACTGGTTATGTCGTATTTACCCTCTTGGGAGGCGCAACATCGGATCTTCTGTTATCTCTTTCCTAAAATCGCTTTTTTTGCCTTGGTTCCTCGGAGTGCGAGGCTTTAATCCCTTTCCCCACAATGTATGCTCGATCCACCACCTCTGCAAAGGTTGGTAGCTTCAAAACCTTAAGCCTATCATTGATTTCAGCATCTAATCCTACTTCAAATTTCCTTGCTTTCCGAGCTTCAGTGGGGATGACATATGTCACAAAACGAGCTAGTTGCGTGAACTTGCTCTCATATTCAGCCACTGTCATCGTTCCTTGCTTTAGGTGTGTGATTTCTGACGCCTTTTGTTCCCGTAATGAATCTAGAAAGTATTTTTCATAAAATACTTCCAAGAATCTTTCCCAAATCACGATATCTTCTTTCTCCAGGGTAAGAAGCCACTATTCATGTGCATCATTGTAGACACCCCATTTTTGACCACCCTTAAGACTTGGGTGCTTTATGTCGCACACCCAATGATGAATGTATATGCTTGTCAAGTGCTTGAAAGTCCTCACGGAATACCACAACTTTGAGCCTCAAAACCATACAAACCTTATCCCTTGTTTTTGCACCAAAACCCTAACCTTTTAAACCTAAAAAACCTAGGACCTGCAGGCCCATTTTTGTGGGCTGCCGATTATCCCTTTTGGCTACCAGCCATCTTTGTGCCTTGCCGACCAAGTGTGTGGCCTGTCGGCTACAAGTGTATTTTGTAGATATTTTCTGCCAGTTGTGCCAGCTGTTTGTACAGGTGTTTGCATCTACCTACATGTGTATGAATGGATATTTTTGAGGGAGTGTGATGTTTTTCTATAAATAGAGGACCTCCCCTTCCATTTTTACAAGCTAAAAAAATTAAGCAAAATTAATTTTCTCTCTCTCTCTTGAAATTTCTTAAGTTTTTGCCTATATACTCTTAACCAAACCTTGTCATCTTTGAGCTGAGGTACTTTTGAGCCTACTTTGAGCTCTTGAGGGTGTGTATGTGTTGAATTGTTGTTTAAAAGTGTTATTCTCTTCAAGAGGTATAAGGCTTAGCTTGTTTCACTGCTTTGGTTGCTTCTTTTCCTACTTTTCTTCTACTATTTTTGGATTGTACAAACTCTGTATTTTTGGGCTAAAACTTGTGGTGTAAGGCCTTAAACGGTGGAGGGGTGGTTCACATTTTTTTCCACCTTGCTTTTCTAGCCTTTACCCTTGTGTTTCCCACCTTTACAATATCTTTTTTTTGAGCTTTTAAATACTGAATTTCAAAGTTATTTCAGTGGCTAAAAACATGTTTTGAAGTCCGAAATTGGAGGGGTTAGCCTCCCCTCCTTGTGTCTTGTTCACTAGCGTACATAGCTCCATGTTGTAGCTTACTATTTTAGCTTTTTTTGTCTTAATTCCAACACTTCTTTTGCATGTTTTAAGACTTTTTTTAGGACTATTTTAGGTGTTCATTGCATTTATGATTTGTTTTGCATGCTTGTAGTGTAATAGTCCTCATATGTTTGGTGGTTGAGGTCTTAGCCACCAACCTATTTGAGTTGATAGTGTTTATTTCGAGCTTTCCATACTTGTGATCACCTTTAATCACCTCTGCAACATTCCTCTTTTCTTGGCTTTTACTTTGCTTTGAAAGATGGTTCAACTAGTTGCTTGTTTAAAGTATAAGATAGAGGTCTTGTGCTTAATGGTTTAATCCATTTGGGGGTTCATTACCAACGGCATGATGTCTCTCTCATGCCCAAAACAACTCTTGGTTTGATGATTCTTTCCATTAGAGGACTTAAAGCTCACCTTTGGACTTAATTTACTAAGGAATGGTTGGTGATTAAAATATAATAACAAAATGAAGATAAAAAATGATGCAAGATAATAACTTGGTTTGGGTTCAATCGGACGTTAATTGAACCCTTGAGTCTTGAATCGTTTCATACTTGTTAGTGATGTAAACGGTTCAAAAGTCAATGTCAACCACTTCCCTTGATCAATCCATGATAGAGAGGGGGTTTGAGAGTCTTTATTTGTTGCATTTATTGAACTTGCACACTTTGGTTCATAAGCCATCATGCAATGAAATTGCATCCATTGATGATTTGTGAATCAAATTTACTACTCCTTTGAGCTGTTTGATGATAAGGAGGGGTAAGTTGTGCAAACAACCCTTGAGAATACCCTGTTCTTGCTCTGTTTTCTCTCTGTTACAGTGGGAAGAACCAAGCATTAGTGGCCGGCAGGCCACTATTTCTGGATGGCAGACCATCTTTTGTGGACGGCAGGCCACCACTTTTGGCCTGCCAGCCACCTTTACAAAACCCAGCAGTGGCTTTTTGAAATAGAACAGAGCTGATTTTGAGGTGAAAAAAAGTGCAAATGTTCTACTGTGCAACACAAGCATCTGGCAGCAGGACAATGGCCTTTTTCGGGTGCAAATTCGTGCATGCATGAGCATTCCTCGTTTCCTGAGGCAGAGTAATTAGAATAGCTAGCTTAGCACTTCTTTCATGTTGTATTCATATAATTAATTAGTACATTTTGATTTGTAATTAAACGATAAACTGTTTGAATACCTGTAGATGAAGGCTAATTGCTTGAATTGGAATAATTTGAGTTATGTTTATATGTGATCACTTTTTCAAGTGGTACATATTCGAAACAATTTTCAAAACAAACGTGAAATCACATGTCCCAATTCTTGCAAATTAGTTTATACTTGTGTGTGTGCGCATCACATAGTAATGCTAACCTAATAATCGGAACAAGAGCATATAATGTAAATAAGATTCGCATCATGATTAGTAGAGGTCGATCTTTGATCGGGTGAGCGGGGGTGCTTAATTCATGACCTTCCCCTCTCATACCTAAGTTCCCGAGCCGAGACAATCTTAGTGATGACGGACACATGACCTTTAGCACAAGTTATGGGTTTTCTAAATTTTTCAAAAACATTTAGGTAGTGGCTCTGTATCTGGCAAAGTAATCAATTTTTGGCAATTTGATTCAAAATCGATTTTCCAAAAGATTTGCCAGATTTGGACTCTTTAGTATTTATCTATTTCACATTATACTTGTGAGATCAAATTCAAAACCGTGGGAGTCCGATACTGTAGGGCTTATTCATCTTTCGAAAGGAGCACGAAAAGTTGAGCTACAATTTCTGGCGACTCTGCTGGGGACCTAGAGAACTTGACTCAGAATTCATGATGTGAACTTTTATCTCCATATATATGTTCTTTGCATTGCATTTGCATTGGTGCACTTAAGTCACTGTGTTTGCCATCTACTATTCCTGGACAGTTTGCCGGAGGCTTGCCTAACAGCTTGCCAAAAGGCTAACTAGTCGTGGGCTCTGCCATGATGGGAACATAACCCTTGGATCTGGACTACTGCTGTACCGTTTGATCCCCCTTTCACTTCTCGATGTTAGGTGTGAGAGGTATATTACCCTTTTGACCAATCAGCCTAGCTGCATATAGTAAAGCCATAGTGACTGTTCCAACTTAGGATAGGATACTCTCCTATATACAGGACAATGTGATACCACTTGTTTGAGTAGTAAAGCTGTAGATCACTCCAAAGCTAGGACAGGGAAACCCTAAACCCTAAACCCTTGACCCTTACCTCATGACTTGTCCAAGAGTCACCTAAGTCAATTACATTTGGCTTCGTATAATTCTAAGGGTTATCACCCTCTTTGGTAATCCACAATGATCCCTAAAATTACGTATGATTATAAGTTAGGTTCACGTTAAAAAATATCATTACCAAACTATAAAACATCACTTACCACTTACTAAAATATTTAATATTAAAAATGCGGTGTCCCACAATCTACCCCTATAACACAGATTTCTAATATTCACTTTTTGATATATTAAGGAATTGTATTTATTTATTTACGTATTTATATATATATATATATATTTTTATTTTTTTTTCTATTCATGAGTAATTAATATAATCACGATATTAAATTAAAAATTCGGGTGTCACAACGTCAAAGCCTTGGTTAAAGAATGGATGGCCGATGGTAAACTTACTTTGCCTCTGGTTGATGTTCCCCCAACCAAAAAAGACAAAGAAAGCCCAGATTATTGTATCTATCACAAAGCCACCAGACACCCTACTAGGGACTATTGGACTTTGAAAAGCATCTTCAAAAAGAAAGTTGTTGCGAATGAGCTGAAGTTCAATGACATCGGTAACCATGATGTAAGGAAGGACCTTTATCCTAATCACAAGGAGAAAGGGTAGAATGTACACATGATTGGCTATCTTGGGCCTGTGCGCGATCAAGTGCACATGGCATCCTATTATGATGAGTTAGAAGAAATTGCAACTGGCTAGCTCCTTGAACAGTACCTGCGGAAGCAATACTAGCAAAGGATACTCATGCTTAAGCCTTGCAAAACTCTGTCAAGTTTCGTACCTTCTTTGACCAGCTAGGGTTGAGCCAAGCCACCAGGTTGGAAGTAACAAAGGCCCTCATCAACATCTCTGAAGTGCACCATACTAAAGCTGTTGAGGCTAAGGAGTATGTGCCTCGACGCATCCAGGAAGATTATGGGGCCATTACCTTTTCAGAGGCAGACAGAGCATATCCATTTCCTCATAACCGTCCTCTTTTTGTCACAGCTTACATCAATGACGCAGAGTTCGAGCGTGCTTTCCTTGATGGCGGAGCATCCATAAACATCATCACTACCGACACCTTTGCGAAGGCCGGTATCCCAGAGTCCAGGATGGTACGTCAACCCATTACTGTGACGGGTTTTGGTGGTGAGAAAAAAGTCACTAAGGGCCATGTTGTAGTGGACTTAGCAGTTGACGAGATCCGCTCCGCAACTAAGTTCCACGTGATTAAAGTGGACACAAATTACCACATGATACTTGGCAGAGCTTGGATGCACCGATATGGGGCTATCCCGTCGAGTTATTACCAATGCATGAAGGCAAAGTTGAGGAAGCACACAGTGACCATAAATGCATCTGAAAAACCATTTGGAGTAGAGGAGGCACACTATTCTGATGCAGTTTTGTTCACTGAGCTGTCAACGGATGAAATTCCAAGGACTGGTAAAGTTGCAAGGGTAAAATTACCGAAGTGAGGAGACATTCGAGATTTAGAGGCTGCTCCAAAAAGTAGTGGGCAGAAGAGGAATAGTAAGTCCACAAGCCCTCCGCCCAAGATTGTTAAGGTGTGCGAGGGCGACAAGACAGTTTACTACCTATGACGATCTTGGGGGCCAGACTTCATACCCTAGGAGGATGGCCCCGTGACCAACAAATGTGATGGTGACGAATTCCAAGAAGGGTTAGTGGAGACCCCTGAGCTCGTTCTTGTGTGTATACAAGACAAACCCAAACCGCAGCAAGAAGTACTTGCTAAGGTAAACCTCAGCGACTTACCAGGGCAGAACAAACCTATGTTTATCAGCGATACAATGTCCCCAATAGCCAAGGCAGAATTAATAACACTACTGAAGCAGTACAGTGACGTCTTTGCTTAGACATACGACGAGATGCCTGGTCTTGACCCATCCCTTGTCACCTATCACCTTGAGATTTTCCCCAACTCTAAGCCAATAAAGCAACATGCTCGAAAGTATCACCCTAACCTTGAGGCAAAGATTAAGGAAGAGGTAAAGAAGTTGCAGAGGGCCAAGTTCATTGAGCCTATACAGTACCTAACTTGGCTAGCAAATATTGTGCTTGTGAAGAAGAATAACAGCCAGATCAGGGTCTGTGTAGACTTTCGCGACCTAAATAAGGCCTGCCTAAAAGATGAGTTTTCATTGCCCCATGTTGACACACTTGTCGATTCTACTGCGGGCCATCAGATGTTCTCCTTCATGGATGGGTTCAGTGGTTATAACCAGATCAAAATGGCACTAGAAGATACAGAAAAGACAGTTTTCAAAATGCCCTTGGGAATTTTTTTCTATACAATAATGCCCTTCGGTTTGAAAAACGTGGGGGTAACCTATCAACGGGCTATAACTGCACTACTCCATGACATGCTACATCATGAAGTGGAAGTGTATGTGGACGATCTGGTGGTAAAGTCTACCGAAGCAAATCGACACCTCTGCGACTTGGAAAAAGTATTTTAGCATTGTCGAAAATTCTGCTTAAAGATGAACCCTATCAAGTGTGCCTTCGGAGTTACCACAGACAAGTTCCTTGGCTTTCTGGTACACCAACGGGGGATTGAAGTTGATAGGGATAAGATCAAGTCAATCATGGAGATGCCATAGCCACACTCTCAAAAAGCCTTGAAGAAATTCATAGGCAAAGTTTCATACCTTAGGAGGTTCATCCCAGCCCTTGCTGAGATAACCTTTTTCCTTTGGACACTGCTGAAAGGGAATCACAAGTTTGAATGGTTGCAAGAACACCAACAGGCGTTTAATATGGTGAAACAAGCACTTACCTCTCCACTTACAATGATTGCCCCATAATCTGAAAAGCCTCTGCTACTGTACCTTACCTCTACACCTCGGTCTATTGGAGCTTTACTTGTCCAAGACATAGATGGCATTGAGAAGCCGGTCTATTATATCAACCACAAAGTAAACGGTGCTGAATCACGGTATACCCCAATTGAGAGGCATTGCTTAGCCTTAATCTTCACCGCACAAAAGGTGCACCATTATTTTTTGGCACACCCGATCCAGGTTATGACCAGGAGTGATCCAGTCCGTTACTTACTGAGCAAGCCCGCTCTTACCGAAAGAATGGCAAGATGGCTTTTGGCTCTAGTAAAATATGACATAACATGTATTACTCCTAAGGCTATCAAGAGCCAAGCACTTGCACACATGCTAGCACAATTCCCATTTGGTGAACATAAACCTGCAGAGGTACCCCTACCTGATGAAGTCCATGTCTCAATAGCAGCGGTTGAGACTTATCGAGATTTAAAATTTGATGGAGCCTCTGGAGCTGGCATAACACTCACTAGTCAAGAGGGGGAGAAGTTCCATTTGTCATATAAGCTTGACTTTGAATGTTCAAACAACAAGGCTGAATATGAGGCGTTGATACTGGGTTTGATTACTGCTCAAAAGAAAGGCTGTTCAAAAGAAAGGCCTCCGTAAGTTGAAAATTTGGGGCGACTCCAAGCTAGTTGTCAAGCAAACAATGGGTGATTTCTCCTTAAAGGAGCCTCTGTTGGCCCCATATTGCACTATAGTTCAAAATTTGCTCACTCAGTTTGATGATGTCCAAATCCAGTATACCCCTCGAACACACAACCGTTTTCCCGATGCCTTGGCTATACTAGGGGCAAATATGGATATACCAGATGATCGTATAGCCATCGTCATCGAGAAAAGAACAACACCAACAGTGTTAGCCGAAGAACATACAGAGTAAGATGCTAAGGGATGGAAATCAAATATAATCCAGTAGCTGAAAGCAGGCCAGAGAACAATCAGACCAGCAGAACTTGCATCACTCCTGCTCCTCAGAAAAGAGTTGTATTTTCGCAGTCCCAATAACCTGCTGGCAAGGTGCGTTGGTAGACAAGAAGCAACTTACAGACTTAAGCAGATATATGCCAAGTCTTGTGGAGATGGAGATATCAGCCTACATCGATGGATACAGAGGCAAGGGTGTTACTGGCCAGAGATGGAAAAGGAAAGCACTGAGTTGTAGAGGCAATGTGCAAAATGTCAGTCCCATTCTAAAGAGAAAGAAGCCCATTTCTTGAGCAGTAAGGAATGGAGGTAGCCGTATATTAACTATCTTGAAAACGGCACACTACCTAAGAACAAAGTCGATGCAATTAGAGTTAAAAGATGGGCCCTCCGCTTCTTCCTTAACCAATGCAAGTTGTACCGCAGAAGCTTTGAAGGGGAACATTTAGCGTGCTTATCAAAAGATGAGGCAAACGAAGTGCTGAGGGAAGCGCACAAGGCAGAGCATCAAGAAGCGCAGCGATTATATGGGCACCTTATTCACCTCGGCTACTACTGGCCGATAATAGAAGAAGATGCTAAAAACTTTGTAAAGAGATGCCAATCCTGCCAAAAGTTTGGGAACTTGATACATGCACCGGCAGTCGAACTACACAACATCAAGACTCCTTACCCATTTCATACTTGGGCATTTAACCTAGTAGGTCCTATAGCGCAGCAATCCAAGGGCCACAGATGGATACTTATAGCAACTGAAGTTAGTACCAAGTGGGTAGAGGCTATACCAATGAGGAAGGAAAATAGGGCAGGAGTGGCGAACTTTATCAAGGAAAACATAATCTGTAGGTTTGGCATACCCAAGGTGATATTGTCTAATAATAGGACCCCCTTTGTGAACCGCCATGTGGGAAGATTGTTGGACACCTACCAAATCAAGCACCACAAGTCTACTCCGTACTATCCTCAAGGGAACGGACAAGCTGAGGCAATAAACAAAACCCTCATCCGAATATTGAGTAAAATGATAGATAAAGCATGGGGCACATGGTCTGAACAACTCCTCGTAGCACTCTGCGTATATAGAACATCAAAAAGGAAGCCAACTCAAGCAACCCCATTTTCCCTAGTGTATGGGTCCGAAGCTGTGTTACCAGTTGAGTTGGCAGTACCCTCAGCAAGAATGGCTATGTCAGCACACTTAGTTCTAAACAGCAGGAAGAATGACATAGAGGCGGCCAAAGAAATAAGAGATCGGGCCTCGCGGGCAATGGAAAAGTATTATCAGTCCATAGCTCGCGCCTACAATCAGTCTGTTCAACACAAGGAATTCAACAAGGGGGACTTGGTATGAAAAACAGTAGAAGCAATCATGCGGGGACAACCAATCCCCAAGTTCTTTCCAAGATGGGAAGGCCCCTACAAAGTTACTAAGGCAAGCAACAGCGGGTATTACAAGTTGACAAGAGTAGATGATGGGCTCAGAACTGGCCTTATCAACGCTAAGTTTGCAAATGAGTATTTTCCATAACTTCCTTTTCGTTCAGAAAAAGAGTTGTAAGTTTCTTTGTTAATATTTCCAAAAAAAAAACGTATAAGAATATGTCATACACTTAGTAATCCTGTAACTCTTGTAAACACTTAGTGTGAAGAAAGTTTTCCATACTTAGTGAAACTTTGTCCATGTAAAAAGCTTAGTCATGACAAAGTTCTGTTCATGGCATGAGTTTTTCTTGGCTTTAGAAGTTATGTAAAAGACAGTGAAAGGAAGGCAGTAAAGTAAGGCTCAATATCTTTTGTAAAATAAATTGATAGAGAGAAAATAAATTGTATGTATTATTGATTGATGATATGTTATCTATTACAAATGGTAAGAGGCTCCTTATATAAGAGATGCAGTGGAGTAGGTGGAGTAGGTGGTAGTGGTAGGTGTGTAGTAGGTGGTAGTAGGTGGTGGTAGGTGTAGTAGGTGGAGTAGGTGATGGTAGGTTTTAACAGTAGGTTTTAACAGCCCCCCGCAAACTCAAGGGGGATAGGAACTAACCAACTTGAGTTTGGAGAGAGTAACAAAACAAGAAAATAATCTGAAAAATAAAAAATGGATAGGAGACACTGTATAGTCGTGTCAGACCGTTGTAGAAGACTGTAGGGTTATGGCAGACCGATGTAGAAGACAGTTTATGGGGTCATGTCGGACCGTTGTAGCAGACAATGTTGTGACAGTTGTTGTGACAGTTTACGGAGTCTTGCTGGACCCTTGTAGAAACTAACCGAAATCAATGTCGGGACAGTTTACAGAGTCTTGTCGGACCCATGAAGGAGCTAACCGGAATCAATGTCGGGATAGTTTACAGAGTCTTGTCGAACCCATGAAGGAGCTAACTGGAATCAATGTCGGGACAGTTTACAGAGTCTTGTCGGACCCCTAAAAAGTCGCACCCTCAAAAGGTGTGCCCAATCTTTCAAAAGGCGTGCCATCAAAAGGCGTGTCCAAGTCATAAAAAGATGTGCCGAACATGACGGCGAGGCGCATCACCACATTGGCTTGCGCGCCCATTTTGTCGTCTGGCGTCAAGTGGCGCGCGATGCGCGTGTCTGCCTTGGCTATTTAACCAAGACGGATGCTGAGGCTGAGGCAGAGGCTAAGACAAAAAACTGGCTAAAAACCTCTGAGAAACTCTTCGTTGTCT